CATGTATTCGCTCCATAACTGGTGGTGGCCGAGATATGATCATGTGAAAGATGTTTCTGACAGAGTGACACACATTGATTTCAGATATCTCCTTGTGGTAGATAAGGCTTGTGAGAGAAACAGTCCTTGGTATGATATGATATGATGTGAATTACTTCTCAATATGATATATATTCTCTCTTCCCTATAAGTGTTCAAGAGTTATGCTCAATCATTTTCAATCAATTGTGTCCTGAAACCATACAGGAACTTGAAAGACACTCTCATGGCGTGAGGGGTAACTCTGAGCCAATGAATGAAAGGGAGGAAGAAGCATGTTGTTTAGTTTCACCTCACAAATAATGGAATGGTTCGATCCAAATTATTGGTAGCCCAACATCCCGATTGATGCTTTTCCTTGGTGTTCAATGGTGAATCTTCACGAGCCTCTTCTTTTTGTTCCTCACTGCTGCTGCGGGCCATGGGATGGGGTTCAATGAAGTCGAAAGGAGAGCAACACCATGAAGAGATCACATCAACTGTTGGGCATGCAGTTAACCTTCTACATCAGAATCCACCTCCAAAGCTGGGATTCATCGTCGACACTCATCTTTGTTTCTGCTTGAGTACACCTTTATCCAACCGGATAGAGTGACCTAAGAGAAGATGAGGGCGCAAAGAACTCCTTTTATTTTTCTGCTTCCGTTTGACTGGATAAGGAAGAAGAAGATGGGCATATGAACTGTGACCAGGAAAACTAGAACAAAGTAAACTGGAAAGGGAAAGCTGCTCCACATTGACCTACATATCATTACCAGTAGAACTGTGCCGACAGCACCACCACCTTCGCCACCACTTTCACATTCATAAAGCCAGCCAAGGACTGACATCTTTTTGTTTCACTGGCTAATTGTGACTGGGTTCCTCCTCCCTTTGTCAGCCTCCGATATAGTGCCTTTTCCTTTTTCTCCAGACATTGTGCATGTGATCAACAACCATAGCCAGTGAATTCCCTGTGGAGGATCTGAGCTGTGTGGTTGAAGTTTTAGTTTATTGTTTGGTGAGACATGTCAATCCTCTGCGGGAACTTTCTTCCTCGTGGCCATCATTTTAGTGATCTCTTCAGCTAATCCCACTCGGTCATCTCCTTGTGGATGTTGTGCCTCAGTTCTGGCATCCCCACTAGTGACCAAGGCACCAGTTTCCTGGAACACATCCACCAGACTTGTCCTCTACATGTGATAGATATCACAAAGGTTTTCGTGTCATCCTGATGCCCTCATAAAATGGTGTCAGGCACATGTAAAATATGGCAAATTACTGTTGTCACGATGGTGATGAAGGTGGCAGAAAAGAGTCGTGTGAAGAAGGTCATGCCTATGTCCTGTTCGACGATTTGATTTGGAGATCTCGAACGAGTGATGCCGTGCGGAAGTCGCTCGCTGATTGCTCTTATCCGTGCATCGAGCACCTTGCATGCACTAATGCCTTGGAAACAAGCAAAGGGAAGTTTGAGCACAAGAAAACACACTAGTTTGCATCCTCTTACAAGGAAACTAAAAGCAGAACACTATTGAGTTGGATACAATGCTAAATCCAGGCAATGAATCAACTCGTGTCCTCCTTTATTACATGTTGGTTTAGATGATACATGAGGAAACCAAAAGATGAGCTATTAAAGGAAAGGAATAGGTCGGCACGAAAAGAAGAGGGCGGCTCATGAGATTGAATGGGAACATAACACGTTGCCGTGTTGCAGATAGGATTAGCCTTACCCATTTTATCCCGTCTTGGCTGTGGTGTTACTGCAACTAATAGACATCCTTAGGCTTTGCTTGCTCTGTTCATTACCACATGTAACTTAGCCAAATAAATATCATACATAGTTGTTATTTGGATAATTACTAAATTATTTTTATTAGAATTATAAAGTCTCTTTTAGAAATGATGAGTTGAAGATGGGATTCGAACTCGGAATCTATCGAAGCCTTTACCAACACCTTTCATTGCGATCATTATCCAAAAAAGGTTGAAAGATATGTGCTGTAATAACGAGTAATAATTGATGAAACACGAATCTTGACGCGATGACCACTTCAATTTGCCTTCTATAAATGCGGAGCTCCCGCTCGGTCTCGACTCCCCAAACAAACTCCCTCCTCCCCCTCTCCTCTCTTCTGCTGCTCTGCTTCCTTCCCCCTTCCTCTTGGCTTTGTAGTGAGAGGCAATGCGTTCTCCGGCGAGGTTTCTCCAGTCCTCGGACCCGCTGCGGAAGGCGGACCCGCCGTCCTTGCTTCCTGTCGACTCCGACGTGGTCGTCGTCCTCGCCGCGCTGCTCTGTGCCCTCATCTGCGTCATCGGGCTCGCCATCGTCGCCCGCTGCGCCTGGATCCGCCGCTCATCCACCTCGTCCTCCTCATCCTCCACCGCCGGCCCGCCCCCCCCACCCAGCAAGGGCCTGAAGAAGAAGGTCCTCCGGGCGCTACCGACGCTCTCCTTCGACTCCTCTGCCGCCGCCGCTGGCGGCGTCGAGCTGGTGGAGTGCGCTATCTGCCTCACCGAGTTCGCCGACGGCGACGATGTCCGCGTCCTGCCGCAGTGCGGGCACGGGTTCCACGCCTGCTGCGTCGACACGTGGCTCCGCTCTCACTCGTCCTGCCCCTCCTGCCGAAGGGTCCTGGTGGTTCCCGCCCCGCCGTCGCGGTGCCACAGCTGCGGCGCGACCTCCGATGGCGCTGCCGCGGGCGCCAAGGCCGCCGAGCGCGGCGGCGCTAGCACGCTGTCGCACTGAAACACTGCCCCGTCCATCACATCGGGGCAAGAAGACGATACAACTACATGTTTGTTGTTATGTCTCTTGACTGTTAGGTGGAGAAACAGAATGGATTGGTTGGTGATGTGTGCATACAAAACATATCGATCACTCGCAACTTCTAATGGAAAAGGAACTTGTGCTTATGGGAGTTCTTTTCATGAGAGCGAGGAACGGAAACACAAAAGAAGCAAACTTTTGCGGTGACCGGAGAATGATCAGTAGCCCGGAGCTCGGCCTTGCACTTGTTCTGCTTGCTTTCTTGAGAGAAGGTCTCAGCTTGCAAGGGAGCTCTTGCAGCACCAATGGAAACGTTTGTTGACTTGTTGTTTGTGCAGCTTTTTGTCTCTCTTATCTTTTATATGTGTCAATGGCTTTTGGTTCAGCTGCCATTGGAGGCAAGTGTGACAGATTGTCTCTCTCTGAAGTAGTGTGATTTTTATTTCGGATCAAAGAAATAGCAGATCTGTAAGTTGCAGCTGCAATGAATTGGTGTGACCATCAGATTTGTTTTTGCTTATAGGAAAAAGAATGTATATTATTGTAAGTCAATTACCAGAATGCATGTTCTACAAGATTTCAACTTGAACCTATTAGGAGAAAAGAGAGAGAGAGAGAGAGAGAAAGGGGAATGGAGACATGGACCATTTCCAGTTGGCAGCTTCCACTAGAACAAAGAGATATGATCCATATCTCATGGGATGAGCTGACTTCAAAAAATATCTGTGGTCACTGAACGATTGTAAAGTCATCATAGAGAAAATATCCCTCTCTCTCTTTTGGGAGGTCAACGTTCTGACTTCTCTCTCTAATGGGAAGCCAGAGTGAGTTCTGATTTAGTCAACTACAAGTGACTGTAGTCCACACCAAAGAATCATGTTATTGCACCCAAGAATGGATATACTAATGGTTCTAAGTTTCTCCTTTTTAAGGAAAAGTAATCATCAAAACTCAGAAAGAGAGGACAAAAAAGAGGTTGACATCAACTGCCAGTCAAAATTATCCCCGAGGTAAATAAATAGTTAGCTTCCCTCCCCCAGTTAGAGCTAATATCTGTGCAGAATCATTAGTAATTCTTGGTATATGTTTAAAATTAATTACGTTAATCTCTTGACTAAACTCTAAATGGAAATGAGTTATCTTCTTCCCAGAGTTTTTTTTTCTAACATAAAGAAATCTATTATAAATTAGTCAAGAGCTACAAAATTGGTAAGTGAAGACACCCAAAAATAAAAAATTCCACCCCCAATTATGAGCACAATCGTACGTTTTGCCTCTGTTAATATTACACTTCTTTCCACACACATGTACGAAAATTTTTACAAGATCTTTAAGAGAACAAAAAATAATTTTAATATTTTAATTAATTTTTTTAGTGGTGGATGACCGTGTTGTTGGGGGTTACAAGTGAGCATTGTGGATGAGAAAAGAGTGATAGTGAGAAGTGAAGTGACAACGTAGATGTTGATACTATGCATTTGCATCGACATCGACAATAATATGAGGGAGGGTAGCATCGCTCTGCACCAACATTGGCATTGATGTAAATGTCAACAACCTTTTCATTGCTCTACATCTGCGTCAATATCGATGCAGATGTTGAGTGATCCTTTCGTTGCATCTGCGTCAACGTAAATACAAAGCTACACTGATGTAGTTGTTGAGTGGTGTTGACGTAGATGCAAAGCATCGGTATCTGTATCGTCGTTTCCTCTCTCGGCATCACTCTCTCTCCTCATTCCCAATAGCCATGTGTGGCCCCAACGATGTCTTCGTTCGTTATCATGATAAACATAACTAAGACATTGAAATTATCTTTTTACTTATTATTTTCATGCTTTCATTAATAAAAATCAATAACATAAAAGTAAATAAAACTAAATATTTTATTTTTATAATTATAAGAATTCGAATATAAAATTTTTTAATGTAAAGATCAAAATGCTAAAGAGACCTGACATAATATGTAATTGGACAAGCTTGTTAAGATCGTTAATTCATTCCTTGGATTTAAATATAACCCTAACCTCTCGCCACCTTTCGAATTTAACCCTCTCAAGCACAGGATGGCCATTCGGGATTGCCCGCTTCAACTCCCTCACTCTGCTACGAAAACTTGCTTGTAGAATTCATTACCATAGTTACAAACATGACTAAGTTCCATCCTCCCAACAAGACCCAAGAAGAAACCACAAGAACTGAAATGAACAAAAGAAAGCTACATTTATGGTCACAAGGAAACCACAAAGCTGTTGCCTTCTTACCACAAACTTTCTTCCTCCGTATCATAAACCAAATATGAAATCAAAGCAAGAACCTTTCGTCACTAAGAAAAAGGTATGCCAATGCCAACCACTGCAACTGGAAATCCATAGGCATACATCTTGATAACACAAAGCTACAGTTCTCCTGTTACAACGCAACCAAAGGTAGGTCCTTTTTACAAGACAACATCAGCCCTTTCAGAACGCAAAACCCTAACACTTGCGACCCACACTTCCATCGCCAGCACCGCCAAAGAACGAGCTCAGCCTCCGAACCCGTAGAGGGTGCGACCCTGGCGCTTGAGTGCGTAGACGACGTCCATGGCGGTGACAGTCTTGCGGCGGGCGTGCTCGGTGTAGGTGACGGCATCACGGATGACGTTCTCGAGAAAGATCTTGAGGACGCCGCGGGTCTCCTCGTAGATGAGACCGGAGATTCGCTTTACGCCACCACGGCGGGCGAGACGACGGATCGCCGGCTTGGTGATCCCCTGGATGTTGTCACGGAGAACCTTGCGGTGGCGCTTCGCGCCGCCCTTGCCCAGCCCCTTGCCTCCCTTACCGCGACCAGACATGGCGCAGATCGATCCAAGAAAAGAAAGGTAGAAGAAGGGATGAATTGGAGGTGGAGAGAAGGCGGCGAGAGGAGGGAATTTATAGAAAGGGGGGATTAGGGATTTGGGTGAAGGAAATGGAGGGATTTGTGTTCGGAATTTGGGATGGGAGGCGGGAAATGGGAAGACTATTGGTAATGAGTCGTTGGATTCCTGGTTGACGGTCTAGATGGGTTAGTCCAGTGTGGCTCGGATCGGTGACGTGGGAGGTAGGAACGTTGCTGTGTTTCTTGCGATCTGGCACGCGACGGTGACGAGCCGAAGACACGAATCGTTGGTTTCGAACGAGACAAGACACGAAGAATAGGTGGGCGGGTGTCACAAAGTAGGAGTTGAAGCTTACCATAGCAAAGAAAACTTACCCTTCGCACGGTTTGGTTCGAATCAAAATCGAACCAAAATTAAATCGGAATCAAATCGATCTGATGATTGACCAATTTCAAATAACTTAACATGAATAATTTGATTATAACTTATTTTTTCAAAAACCAAAATCGAT